ACACACACAACACACACACACACACACACACACACACACACACACACACACACACACACACACACACACACAAAGCTACTTAAAGGCTAAATGTCAACATTAGCATATATGCAATGGTAAGCTTAATATATTATATAAGTTGAACAATAATTTCTTATGGAAACTATATAAAAAGAGTTTGTTGATTTTTGTGCTACATTTTCTTTATTTCTCTTTCCTTTGACTCTCATTATAGAAGAACAGGGAGCAATACATGAGAGATTGCCAGTAGGGAGCAGTAGTGCTCTTCATTAAACCTCTTTACAGTACAAGACATGTTCTTATCTTATAAAATATTATGCTATGGGTTATTGTCATCTCATCTATTTCATTACTAGATTTGACTAGAAGTTGAGTCACAATCCTATTTTGTATTATTTTTTTTATTATTATTTTTTTTTTAATTCAACACTATACTGTTGGGTTTGCTTTTTCATATATGACTCTGGTTTCCCTGTGTTTATCTCAGTCTCTATAATCTTTAAATCTCTAACACAGTACAGATCAGGACTAGATGAAATACAACTGACATGCTGTTGTCTTTTCTTGTTCCTTAGAGTCATTAAAAGGGTGCCAGCAAAACCATGGAAGTCATCTTCTGAATGATCAAAGCAATAGACTTTCTATGATGAGAAACACATTAATCCCTTCTTCTACAAAGTAGAGTATTTCCTGTCCATCAGTGCTGGATTGGATCTAGCTATGGGGGATGTGGCTGTATGATTGTGTCTCCATCCACAAGTCTCATGGAATCACCAACAAACAAATCTGAGCTTCCATCATCTGTACTTCCCAAGAGGCCTTCTCAGGGATCTCAGCATGGGATGTGTCTGGCATTACACAGTAGTGAACAGAGTAGCAATGCTTTCACCTCTAAGTCCCCATTGTCATCGTCGTCGACCTTGCTCCTGTACGATAGAGGTGATACATCACCGGAGTCAGTGCGTAGCTTGAGTAGTCTGAGCAGTGCCAGAACAGATAGTCCTCTGGATGTGGACATGCCAGAGGTGGAGATGGGAAAAGCAACAGCCAGCAGTGATGATTCTGGCATGCAGAGCCCAGACTGCAGACCAGACTACAGTGAGGACAACGACAACTCCGTGTCTGTCTATCTGGATGCTAATGAAGACTGTTGGAGTGACAATGACAACAACAATGTCACTTTGGTGGTAACACAAAAGGTTGGCCAAGCTGATGGTGATGATACATCCTTGTGCTCTTCAGAAAACGGCGATGATGATGATGACACTGAAGAGAAGGAGGAAGAAGACTCTTTTCTTTCTTTAGCCTCTGTAGAATTAATAATGAAGAGCCAAGTTGGTGTCTCTGATCTGGAAGTCTCTACCAGCTCTGACGTGGTGATGCCAATCAGTGTTTCACCAGAAGGCGAACAAGCAGAAGTTCCTAACATGGCTGTGGTGAATGAATACCAAAGGGAAGTTGTGTATGAAAAAGAGGAAGTTGTGTTGTCTACAGCCATTCAAGAAACTGATGTCATGAATGAGACAGTGGTGTCTCTTGAAAATACTCCTATAACAGATACCAGAAACATAACTTCTTACATCTCAAAAGAGGAAAACCAGCCAAAGTCCACAGCAAAAAAGACCAGTGATCTGGAAGGACGTGTTTATTCCAAGCCTCCTACAAGGGCTGCTCTGACCAAAGCCACAAAACCTGAGGTGAAGAGGTTCCCCAGGCCAGACCTGAGGAACGTGAAGGCCAAGATCATCTCCAGGGCTGTCTCTGCACCAAGATCAGCCAATCCCGCAAAAACAAACACTAATGTTAACCAGTCAGCTTCAGGAAGTGTGAAGATTCATGCTAGTAGGAAGGTGGAAAATAAAGCTGTTGGAACAAGAAGTAGATCATCATCAAACCATACAAGAGGTAAAGAAACAAAGATGGTGGTCAGTGGCGGTCAAGAGAAAGATGTAAACACTTTATCCTTGCCGACACAAGGAGAAGAAACAATGAAGTCAGAATATCCTCCTTCAATTGATTTTAAAGATGAAGAAGAGCCTCAACTTGAGAAAGAAGCTGGGGAAGAAACCTCTAAGAGCACCAGCAAGGTTAGTGACCGAGTTTTCCCCTTATTCCCTCATGCAGTTTAAGTCGCTGTTTTCTGTTGTAGCTGTTGTTGTAGTGCATAATAATATTGAAACAAACATTAAAAATCCATTTGTATCTAGGCTATATGAAGAACATATATTTCTCTGGAGGAATTTGCATTTTATGTAATTCATTTAGTTTGTACATTTAGAAATGTTTTTACATTTTATTTAAACCATAGGCTACATTTTACAGTTTGTGTATTTATATTTTACTATTTTTAAAACATTTAGTACATTTAGAAAAAGCTTTTATTATTGTTGTTGTTGTTGTTACAACTTTTATTAAGATTTATTAATTCAGATTTTAGGAATACTAAGCCTTTTGTTTTTACAATTAGAAAATGTTTTACATTTTAGTATTGTTATTATTAATTTTATTAATGTGTATTTATTAAAATTGTTGCTATTATTAAAACTTGTATTAATTTTTATTCAGTACATTTACATTTTATATATATTTACTATAATTAAAACCTTTATTACTGATTACATTTAGTACATTTAATAAAAACTTTATCAGACATCATCAGGCATTCTAATGAAGCATCCTTTGACTAGTCAAGTAAGTTACATATATTGGGATGGACAGACAGGGTCAGACTGAGACCCAGCCAGTGGAAACTAGTGCCCGACCGATATGGGTTTTTTGGGGGCCGATACCGATATTAGGGAGTAAAAAAAGGCTGATATTGATATATCGGCTGATATTCTTTGTGTATATTATAGTACAGTACCAGTCAAAAGTTTGGACACTTTCTCATTCGTGTGTCCAAACTTTTGACTTGTACTATATATAGAATACAGTATATACACAAACAGAATATATATACATAAACACATTTTTTGCAATGATCACTCAAATGTGGTGATCAAACACTTATAATGACATGACAAAGATATGTAATGGAGGCAGGGCATTTAACAATAAACTTTATTATCCAAAATGAGTCTGACATCAGTGCAATGAACAGTAAAGTTAAAGTTTATTCAACTTTATTTTATTTCATTTCAATTCCATTCAACTTTATTCCGTTGAAGTTTATTTCACTTCGGAACATTCATTCACGGATTTGCGCTACTGTCTTCACACACAGACGAAACTTAATAGAGAAGTGTGACATAATATACCTCTGTAAATAAAGACAATTTAAATTTACGTCTCACGCACTTTAATGCCCTTTGAATATAACGTGTACGTTCCCTTGGAACTGGAATCATGGTGGAATATCATGTGAAGTCCACTTCGCAGGGCACTTGCGGTCGAATAAGACAATGATTGAATATCGGCATATTCGCCGATACCGATATATCTGCGACAGGCTCATATCGGCCGATAAAATCGCCAAAACGATATATCGGTCGGGCTCTAGTGGAAACATGTTAACTTTTGATCACCAATGGCAGGAAGTATTAAGATTAGGAAGCATTCTAGATTTACACCCAGGCCTTTCAGGTTGTTTGTGTCATTTATGCACATACATCCAAATTTTGGTATACTCAAACTGGAACATTCATTTAAACCGACATATGAATAGCAGCTGTCTGATTCCATGTCAATCTTCTCCTCATGAGGAGAGCTGCTTCAACAAGTCCAGCTCTATACGTGTCATCACATGATTGAGCTATGCTGTTATTCAGGCTCAAATGTGTTATTAGGTTGGGTCTAACCAAATGTCAAGAGTAAATGCAGACCTCAAAAAGGTTTTCAAATGTAAACACTGTGATCAGTGGCAAACACAAATATTCATTTGTGCATCAACACCTTGTTTTCTCTATATGTTCACTGTCCAGTCTTACAGCATGTCAGAGCGCTTACGCAATTCTACGTAAGTGCTTTTGCATGTTTCTGCTTTACTGTTTTGTTAAGAAACATCTAAAAGCTTAAAATTCCAGTTCCCTCTCCTTTCCTGCCTTTTTCAACTTGGTTAGAGAACACGAGTGAGATGTTTTTGCCAATAAAACAACTGTCTTGGAACAGAATGAGGAGGGAAACATTCCTGAGAGGAGTCTGACTCATATGAACACTGATTCAGACAACAGAATCTTTCCACAAACTCACTCCATGTGTGTGTCGAGCGTTCAGAAACGAGGGGGAGAAAAGGAAAAGGTCTGGGCTGGTCCTGGTCCTGGCATCAGAAGCCCTGAGGGAATAACACAATAGAAACGTTTTCCCTTTGCTTTTTTCTTTTTTTTCTTCTTCTGCTTTTTGGAGCTAACGAGTCTTATTTCCCCTCCCTCCTTTCCGCTCCTCCTCCCTCTCCTTCTTGCTTCTCTCTCTCTCTCTGTACCGCTGCACATTTTCTGTCTGTTCTGTGGAATGGCTAACACTATGGTTAGCCTACGGCGCCCAGAGTTGGGCTCTCTCGCTTGGGATGCTGTTGCTAATCAACAACTCTTTCTCCAGACTGTGTCTTCCAAGTTGGGACCATCTCTAGGGACTAACAGTACCTCCACCTCTGGACCCCCAGAAACCAGACTGAAGCCCTCTAACCGAGAAGCCCGACCCACAGGTAGTATGGGTCCACCGGGAGGCCGAGCGGTTCAGCCGGCTGGTGAGTTTTGCTTGTTTAACACTCCACATGCACAGAAGAAAATCTCAAAGGCATTGTTTAAGGAAGTAGGCAGAGTGAACGCTGCAGTGGAAGAGCTTCTAGATTGTTTTCTTCAGTGTAATGTTTCCTGTAAGCTTATACTGATATTGTAAGTGCGATTATTTTACCAGCATCACTGTCACAGTTCAGGTAACTAAAAACTAAAATGTATTGTCTGCCTGATGCACATTTGCAAAATAATTTGACATAGCATAGTTGTGGTTTTTAAATGTGTGTACATATTGTTTTTATATAGAGCTGATTATAATTTCTAAATTCTTTCTTTGTTTCTTTCAATTTAATTTACAAATTGTACACTTTTATTTTTATTACACTACCATTCAAAAGTTTGGGTTTAGTAAGATTTTTGTTTTTTAAGAAATGTATTATTTATTCAGAAAGGACACATTAAATCGATTAAAAGTGACAAAAGTGACATTGATTAAAAGTGACAGTAAAATGTTATATTAAAAACATGTATTTTGAACTTTGTATTCAACCAAGAAGATAAATTGTAAAAAATAGTTCACAATACAGATTTACTTTCTGATCAAATAAATGCAGCCTTGATAAGCAAAAGATGCATCTTCTAAAAAACGTTAAAAAAAAAATCTTACCGACCCCGAAGCTTTTGAACAATAATGTATATTTTATTATTTAGAATTATTATTATTTATTTATTCCAATAATAAACTAAATATATAATAGACAAAATAAATGATAATATAAGGAAATAATAAAATATATAAGTAATTACCTAACCTCATGATATTTTTATTGCATTGTTTTTTTTTTTTTGCTAAAATAAATAAATCAATGTAATTACTTCATTTATGACTTACTTTTAAAGACGGCCCCAAAAAGGAGGTTTTGTCAGATTTAACTTCTTTATTTTTTGTTCCCTAAAACATGTTAAAAAACTACTTTTAAAGTGGTCCTCACTATTCGACAGGATCATAAATACGTTTTTTTTTTTTTGCTTTAAATCAGCTGTGTGAGAATTAGGTTAGGGGTTTAGCAAATAGAATCACCTCCTTATAAAAACCATTAGGTCTACGAGATGTCCTTACTAGTGAATCCAACATGTGTCTGTGTTATGGAGTGAGCGGGAAGCTGCAGCTGGTGTTAATAAGCCTGCAGAACTCAACACTTCAGTGTCCAAACCTTGCGCAGTGTTACGTAACTCTCCTCTCTGTCTGTGCCCACATGTTCATCATTTAAAGCCAAAACACACACTTGAGTTTTACACTTCACACTTAACTTCAGTTTCCTGTCTCATTTTGTCCATTCATCTCTATCGCTCTTTGCCATTCTCTCTCTTTCCGTTTCTTGTGTGTGTAGCCTAAGGCAGTTTTCCTGTTCTGGTCAGAAAAAGACGTCTTATTGTGCTCAGTGTGTGTATGTGTCTATATGTCTACACTTTTGAAAAGTTTTGGGCCGTCCCATAACTTAACCTTTCTCTGTGTCATCCCCTTTTCTTTCTCTTTCTCTTTTGCATGTTTCCTCTTTCTTTAATTACAAGGGGATGCAGGGATATGTTTGGGTGCTTGTGGTTTCAGGGGCCATATTCTATATGTTTGTGTGTGTCATGTTTCAGTGTCAATGAAAAGTAGAATTGAATCAAGCAGAGAAGGTCACATTCCTCCTAGACAACCGTCGTCTTGTTTCTCCACAGAGACCACAGGCCCACACTGTGATTTTTGCTCCACAATCTAATAGCTGCCAATCGGGAAAGTTTTGTGTTGAAGGATATCTGTTACTGTGGAGTCAGATTCACAAAACACTGCCATTTTTATGCCACCAGGACTACTACTTATATAATTAACAGGATACAGAAGTTTCATTGCTTACATTATTTGATAGATGAACGCTTTTTAGTTATTTATGCAGATACCATTTTAATATTAAACACTGATTTCATGGAAATAAGTGAGCGATATGCATTTGCAAAGTTACTCTTAAAATCTTTATCAGTATTTTATTATGTTTGCACTTATTAGCTTCATCAAGGTGAACACTGTTAAAGGGAGAAAACAATTGTGATACTTTTTTTTTTTACACAAAAATATTTCTTTATAAATTATTATTCTTTATATGAAGCACAATATTATTGACTTTAAATAAAATTAGTGTGGCTCAAGGATATTTGCTGGTTAAGGACATTATTTTTGTGCCTTCGATATATATTATGATTTCATTGAAAAAGTTTTTAATCAACTTAAAAAAATATTTTGAATTCATAAAAGTGTAATATACACTACAGTTCAAAGGTTTTCATTTTTTTGAAGAAATGTATACTTTCATTCGTTGATTGATCAAGAGTGACAGTGTAAAGACATTTATAATGTTACAAAAGATTTACTATTTCAAATAAATGCTGGTCTTTTGAACTGTCTATTTGGGAGAGTATCTTATCACGATTTCAAAAAGAACAGCTCATATTAGAATGATTTCTGAAGGATCATGTGACATTGAAGACTGGAGTAATGGATGCTTAATATTCAGCTTTGCCATCAGAGGAATAAATTACATTTTAAAATATAGTAAACAGAAAACAGTTCATTTTAGTTGTAATTATATTTCACAATATTACCTTATTTTACTGTATTTTATCATTTAATTTTAAGGTACAAATGGCACTGTTTTGTGTGATTGTTTAACCTAATTATTTCTTCATTTAGCTACACAGATTTAGCTGCACCACTGCACCTTTTTTCTGCTTTGTTGTTTGCTTTCCTAACTGTAGTTAGTAATGAGTGATCAGATAAATCCACTTGCAGAATAAAAACCCAAAGTCAGACTTCGCCTGGAGGTGAACAAGCAAAATGTAGTACCATGCGTTCTCCAACAGGTGGCATGTATCTCACTTATTGGCCTCACTGCTGTTGAATTTAGTGCCGTTTAAACACTTATTTCAAAAGCATAGGAAAGAGCTGGGGGCTCAGAGAGTGGTTTCTGGACCTGACTCTGGAGAAAGTGAGGAATCTCACTGTACCAGACCAGCAGATTCAAACATACCTGTAAATACAGCAGGTGACATGATGTGTACTTGTGCTGGTTGGTCTCCATAGCAGTGCCCCCAGAAGACCTTACGTTATGTACAGGATGTGTTTGTGTGAGGTGTTCAACCCATTGGAGTCAGAAACAGGATGCAGGAGACACACAAAGATTTCCCAGCACACTACTGCACGTTTCACAAAGAAAAAGACACAAACACAACACAAACTTCCCAGAAATTGGGTGGTGGTACTTATTTGGTTTTACTTTTTCTACACCTGGTTAAAAAAAACAAAAACATCAATAAATAACTGAAAATCAGTCAGGATAATCTTTAATCATATCAGTTTGTATGCATGAAATTATTTCATAAGTAATTTTTTTTTTTTTTTTAAACAGAATCATTATGCTCAAGATCAGCATGGCTGAATGTACATCTGTATGCTATATAAATAACTGCAGTCTATTAAATAATTTAGTACACTGTGAGGGCAGCTCCCTGAATAGAACTGCTATGAAAACATATCCAGTTTAGCTGGAATATGCTTTAGTATCACTGAAGATGGCAAGTAGAATTGATTTATAATTATTTTGTTCTTTTGCATTCAGGTATCCCAAGGATGCGCAGCACAGACAAGTCCACAGTACCCTGCAGTCCCACTTCTGTTTCCAGCCCTTCTTATAAAGGTCCTCAGAAAGCTGCATCTTCCAAACTACCTGTCAAAGGCCTACCCACAAGCCCCAGCAGCTCATCACTGGGAAGTACAATCAGCGAAAGCAACAATATTGCTGTAAACAAAGGTGCGTGTCTGTAAGAGATCAAGTCACCATCTCAATCCTAAGGTTGAGATGCAGATGAAACATGAATATACACTAAAGTACTATGGTATTAACATTTGAGAGACACATTTTTTCTGAGCTTTAATAAAATCTTCAGAACTTAGACTGCCCTCATTCCTTTGCTCAGGTCAAAGGTCACGTCTGCTCTGCGTTTAGCAGTGACTGCAGCAACAGTCGTATACAATACCATCTCTGCCATTCCAAAGCTGTGTGTTGTAGACATTAATCACAACACCCTCTGCATGACACCCTCTCTGAATCATGATTAGTTCATTCTCACACACTCCAGCTGTCGCACAGTATACTCTGAACTTACATTCAAGAATAATCAAGATAGCCACTGAGTTGTCATGGTAACTTGGAGAAATGAGATCTAGTTTTAGTAGGAATACATGTGATAAAGAATAAACAATAAAGGTTTTCAAGGTAAATTCACAACAAAATGCCCCATTAATATTGAAACAAGAGCCTTTTATTTGAATGATTAACTGATACAGTGATCACGTTGTAGTGCTGTGTGATGAATTGCTTAGCTTTTGAAGTCTTTTACTAATTGCATTTTATGAATATTTAATCATTTGTGGCATTAAGAAATTGGGTCCTTATTTGAGTTTGTTAATGGATGGCATATTTTTGCACAATCACATACTCAGTATTTTTATTTATTTATTTATTTATAAGATTTGTTTACCTGCAAAAAAACTGCTTAAGGTATTATTAATATGTGTTTTCAGTGATATATAGACATTTAAACATTAATTTAAAAACAAATATCAGTAAATGTAAGTGAAAGTAACATTTAAAATGTGAACTGGAGCAAGACAGTAAATTTATATTCAAGATATATTCTCTGAAAACAAATCTTAAAGGGGTCATATGATGCTATTTTAAAGATCATTATTTTGTGTATTTGGTGTAACAGAATATGTTGACATGCTTTAATGTTCAAAAAACACATTATTTTTCAAATACTTTACATTATTGTAGGTCCTCTATGCCCCGCCTCTCTCAAACACGTCATTTTCAACAAAGCCCCCTCCTTTGACAAGCGCAGTCTGCTCTGATTGGCCAGCTGACCCAGTGCATTGTGATTGGCTGAACACCACAAGCACGTGTAGGAAATGTAACAACCCTTACCATAATCGCGAGTTTCAGCTTTCAAAGTAAATATCAAGACAAGGTAGGCATGGTTGACTCTTAACTTTTATAAAGAATATCTCTTTGGATTTGAGACTTTAGTCTTTGCAACTTTACAGATCTTCTTTATGCACCAAGAGCTTTCACTCCAAAGAGAAAGGAAAACTTGAAATCGCATCATATGACCCCTTTAATATCTTACGCAATTGTGCTTTTTAGGTATATGTATAATTTTCTAGAAGTGTTGGCATTTAAAACAAGATAAAATGCTAATTAAGAATAATGTTTTTTGCATTGTACACAATATTGTTTTATAATGTGATGTGATGATTTCTCTTTAACCAGTTCCTGCTGAGGGGATAAAGAGTGAGGAGAAGTCTATCAAACAATCACTGGCATCCCAGATTCAAGGAAAGTGTCTAGTTAGCAAACCTGTATCAGGGCACCGCAGCAGAACGAGCTCCACACCGTCTAAACCAGCGGCAGGTGGGAGAAACATACATACATGTCTCTCTAGCAGCACCCACATTTGCTTTCATATATTTACCAGAGTCCAAATTCATCTGTCTCTCATCATTTATTATTTACTCATCAAAACAGCCTCAAAGGGAATCTCACTCTCCTGTCGTCAAGAGCATCTATAAACATTAATCAGTGGGAAAGCTCTGATTGTCTTAAACTAATGACACTGCAATTAGCAGTCCTTTGATATCATTTTACCACAATAGGATTACTACCATATACCCCTCTTAATAGGTTAAAAAAAAATGTAAATACCCTAATTCGTTATTGTAGTTTGTGTATCGTTCCATTCTTTTGTTATGCCAACAGCAACTGATATAAATAGATCAGATTAGTTTTTTTTATATGGAAAGTTGATGCAAATCATGCACAAAACATTGTTTAAAAATAGTCATTGTTATCATTGAAACAAGTTAAAATTGACCCTATATGCAAAATTGCAATAAAATATGAAAATGCTTATATCTTGGATATATTACTGTATATCATGTGGCACCAGTAGATTAAAAAAATCATTTAATTAGTAAGGTCTGTAAGATGTTTTTGAAAGTATTTTTTTTGAGCAAGCACACATTAAATTGATCAAAAGTGACAGTAAAGACAGTTATAATGTCACAAAAGATTTATATTTGAAATAAATGATGTTCTTTGCAACTTTATATTTATTATATATAATTAATGTTTAATCGATTATATATTTATAATAGATGAAAATGTATCATGTTCTATTTCTCTAAATGAAGACCAATGCATTTGTGTGTGTGCGAAAATATATTTTGTAAATTTCGTAAAAAATAAAAATACATATAATGATAGCTATGAAATTAGCCATTGCAAGGTAAATGTAATTTTATTCTAAACTGTCATTTCTACAACCATTGTTTAATGCTTAATTAAACATTACAAAATTGGATGTGTGATAAAAATGACTTTTTTTACTTTCGCAAAAATGTGGAAAAAAAAAAAAAAAACAATCAAATCCAGGAATGCTCCTATTGTTATGGGGCGAACGAGACGTGAGACGTGAGATGTGCGGCTCCATCTGCAAAGCTTTTATTTAAAGGCGTGGTCATAAAAACAGGCAAGGTTCTGACAATGGCAAACAGGTATATTGAGGGCAAGACAAAAGAGGAATCCAAAACAAGCAATAATCCAATCGAGGTGCAAACACAGTCCGAATCAGCAAGGCAAAGGGTAAATCCAAGACAGGCTATTAACTTCAGGGCAGGCAGAAATCAGACAGGATGAGATAACAGGCTGGGATCAAGACACGAGAAAACAGACTATGAACAAGGCTAGACTCATGAACTTGGAAGGGCTCCGTAAAGTAGCTATCCCTAGGTGAGCGATAAATGCTGAACAATACTCGGAAGTGAGAGAGAGGAAGTCCATGGCTTATAAAGCATGTCTCATTGGATGCAGCTGTGTGTGTAATTGGTAGCAGGTGAGCTTGTGATTAGTGCAATGGAGCATGGAAAATGTAGTCCAGGATTTATATAGTGTGTGTTATTGGTAGCAGCTGTGTGTGATTGGTTTCAGGTGAGCTTGTGATTAGTGCAATGGAGTATGGAAAATGTAGTCCAGGGTGATGTGTAACAGTCTGTGTGGTGTGAGAGTCAATATAAGGGCGACCTCTGATGGCAAGCAGACGGAAGTTCATGGACAGGATTCGTGACACATGGCTTCCACAAAAATATTAAGCAGCGCAACTATTGATAATAATAAGAAATGGTTCTTTAGCACCAAATCAGCATATTACAATTATTTCTGAAGGGTCATGTGATACTGAAGACTGAAAATACATTTAAAATATATTAGAAAACAGTTATTTAAAATTGTATTAATATTTCACAATATTACTGCTATTATATTTATTATTATTATTATTTAATTTATTTATTTTATCAAATAAATGCAGTCTGGGGAGCATAAGAGACTTCTTTCAAAAACATTACAAAATCTTATAAACCCCAAATTTCGGAATGTAGTGTATTATGCACAAATCAAGACAAGATATTCCTTAAAGATGCCTAAAGATTGCAAGACTTGATTGTTTATAGTTAATACTGATTGCCTTGCTAATTGCTTTGAATTATGAGGGAGGATTGTTAAAGTGGTCATATGATGCTTTTTTAAAGATCATTATTTTGTGTATTTGGTGTAACAGAATATGTTGACATGCT